TATGACTTGAAAATATTTTTTCTCCTATCCTGTGAGTTGTCTTTACTTTCTTAATGATATAATCTGCAGCACACATTTTCAATGTTGATGTATTTTAATTTATCTATTTTTCTTTTGTTGCTTGTGCTTTTGGTGTCACATCTAGGAAAACACTGCCAAGTTCAAGGTCATGAAGATTCACACCTATGTTTTCTTCTAAGAGTTTTATAGTTTTAGCTCTTACTTTTATATCTATAATTTAATTTTAATACATGGTTTAAAGGGTCCAACTTCATTCTTGTGCCTGGTGTCCAAGCCTATTTGCTGAAAAGACAGTTCTATATCCCACTGAATTATCACCCTGGCATCCTTGCTGGAATGCAATCGACCATAAAAGTAATAATTCCTTTCTGAACTCACAATTCTATAACCTATGTATCTATTCCTATGCCAGTACTATACTATCTTGATTACAGCAGTTGTAATGGTAAGCTTTGAAATAAAGGTGAGTCCTCAAACCGTGTTCTTTTTTCAATCCTTTGTTTTTACTGGGTCCCTTGCAATTATGATTTTTGGTATCAGCTTGTTGATTTCTTAAAAAAAGAAACTAGAATTTTGATAGAGATTCTTTTTTTTTTTTTTTTTTGAGTTGGAGTCTCACTCGGTTGCCCAGACTGGAGTGCAGTGGCCGCTCCCGGCCACCGCAGCCTCACCTACTGGGCTCCGGCGATCCTTCCGCCTCAGCCTTCCGAGTAGCTGGAATTACAGGCATGAGCTACCACACCCGGCTGATTTTTTGATTTATTGTAGAGATGAGGTCTCGCTGCCCAGGCGGGTCTCGAACCCGCGGGCTCAGGCAATTCACTCACCTCAGCCCTCCCAAAGGCGCGGGATTACAGGCTGCGCCACCGAGCCCGGCTTGATAGAGATTCTATCAAATCTATAGATCAGTTCAGGGAATATTTCCATCACATATATATCTTAAACATTCTTACAGATTATATATACTTACATAACTAGACTCATGCCACACATACGATATTTGATTAGTTTTAAAAAATGTTTTATTGAGTTACATTGCTTACACATTTTTAAGTCATTAAATTTTTTTGAATTACAGTCCAAGAACCCTGGAACATTAGATTTTTTTCATCTGAAGAATTTAGTAAGCAACACAAATTGTTTTCTCTTCTCATCTCCTGGGACTAAATGGTGCAAATGGGAATTGCAGAGCCAAGATTATTTTGGATAGAAAACAGAAGACCTACTGAGTAAGTACTTGGCTTCTAACATTGTATTTGGGTCTGTTTTGCCCACCAATTCAAAAACACATAGTACAAGGAGAGAAGGTAGCCACCAGCAACTACTGGCGAACCCGTTAGCAAGGAAATACATTTTGGGGAGCATAATTTTATATTATTTAAAAGGCTAAATACACTTGGCCTTGGAACATCAAGCTCCCTTTATCCTGTTGTAGGGTAATTATCAGGATTCGTTGAGAGCATCCTCCCTTGCATGAATGGGCCATTGGACACATTTCTCTAACCCCCGAAACTGTGCGGCAGCTTGTCTTCTAACGTGTGAATCTGTTGGTGAGCAGCCCCGGCGACAGCAGGAGAATCATGAGTCTATCCTTAAATGTTTTACAGGAACAAAGTATGGTCTTTTTGTAAGTATTGATATGTATTCACTTTTGTGCATGGAAATACTTTTGCCTATTTCGGGAGCATAAATACAACTACATGTACAATAAATAATATTTGAATAAAATTCATCTAAGTATTAATTATTTGAAAGTAGTTCTTATACTTTTGAGTGTCATCATGGACTCATAGACTTCTTACAGTCTTATACTATTATCACTTTTGGGCTCCAATGGTCACAACTTAGCCAGTTGGAGCTACTATATGTTGTCTTTAATGTCTTGAGGGAATCTCTAAATTTTTGTTTAAAAAAAAAATCTTAGATCCAGGGGGTGCATTTGCATGTTTGTGACATGGGCATATTGTCTACTGGTGGAGATTGGGCTTCTGGGGTCCCTATTCCCCAAACAGTGAATAGTATGCCCAATCAGCAGTTTTTAAATCCTGACCAGCCTCCATACCTCTCCCTTTCAGTGTTCCCAGAGTCTATTATTTCTATCTTTATGTCCATGAATGCCCATTGTTTAACTTCCACCTATAATTGAGAACATGCAGTATTTGGTTTTCTGATTTAGTTCACTTAGGATAATGGCCTTCGGCTCTGTCCAGGTTGCAGCAAAGGACATGATTTTGTTCTTTGCTCTTGTGACTAGAGCAGCAATGGACATAAGACTGTAGGTGTCTTTTTTACATAATGACTTATTTTCCAACTTTTTGGTGGATACCCAGTATTGGGATTGCTGGGCTAAATAGTGTTCTATTTTTAGTTCTTTGAGAACTCTCCATACTGTTTTCTATAGAAACTGAATTAGTTTACATTTCCTCCAACAGTGTGTGAATGTTCCCTTTTCTCCACATTCATGCCAGCATCTATCATTCTTTGATTTTTTTTTTTTAAGTTGGAGTCTCGCTCCGTCGCCCAGACTGGAGTGCAGTGGCCACTCCCGGCCACCGCAGCCTCGACCCGCTGGGCTCCGGCGATCCTTCCGCCTCAGCCTTCCAAGTAGCCGGAATTACAGGCATGCGCTACCACGCCCAGCTGATTTTTTGATGTATTGTAGAGATGCGGTCTCGCCAAATTGCCCAGGCGGGTCTCGAACCCATGGGCTCAGGCAATCCATTCACCTCAGCCTCCCAAAGCGCTGGGATTACAGGCTGAGTCACTGAGCCTGACTATTCTTTGACTTTTTAATGATGGCCATTCTGACTGGTGTAAGATGATATCTCATTGTGGCTTTAATTTGCATTTCTTTGATGATTAGTGATGTTGAGCAGCTTCTCATGTTTGTTGGCTGCTTGTATGTCTTTTTTTGAGACGTGTCTGTTCACACCATTTGCCCACTTTTTAATGTTATTTTTCTTGTTGAGTTCCTTGTGAATTCTAGATATTAGTCCTTTATCAGAGATATAATTTGTAAATATTTTATCCCATTCTGTAGGCTTTCCGTTCACTTTGTTGATATTTCTTTTGGTATGCCAAAGCTTTTTAGTTTAAGTCCCATTTGTCTATTTTTGGTTTTATTGTATTTGGTTTTGGGGTCTTCATCATAAATTCTTGGACTAGGCTGATGTCCAGAAGAGTTTTTTCTAGGTTTTCTCCTAGGATTTTTATAGTTTCAGATCTTGCATTTAGGTTGTTAACCTATCTTGAGTCAATTTTTGTATGCGGTAAAGATAGGAGTCCAATTTCATTCTTCTGCATATGGTTAGTCAGTTTCTCAGCATCATTTATGAATTGGGTGTCTTTTCTCCATTTTTTTTTTTTTTGCCAGCTTTGTCAAACATGAGTTGGTTGTAGATACGTGGCTTTAATTCTGGATTCGTTATTTTGTCCCATTGATCTATTTTGTACCAGGACCATACTGTTTTAGTTACTACAGCCTTGTAGTATAATTTGAAGTCAGGCAGTGATACTGCTGCATTTATTCTTTTCACTTATGATTTCTTTGGTTTTAAAGCAGCCATCATAAAAATGCTTCAATAAACAATCATGAACATGCTTGAAACAAATAAATATAGTCCAGGCTGAGTGCAGTGGCTCACACCTGTAATCCCAGCATTTTAGGAAGTCAAGGTAAGAGGACTGTTTGAGCCCAGGAGTTCAAGACCAGCCTGGGCAACATAGCAAGACCTCATCTCTACAAAAAACAAACAAAAAAAAGCCACCTGTAGTCCCAGTTACTTGGGAGGCTGAGGCGGAAGGATCACCTAAACTCAGGAGGTCATCAGGCTTGCGGTGAGCATGATAGTGCCACTGCACTCCAGCTGGGGCAATAGAGTGAGACCCCAACTAAAAAAGAGAAACAGACTATAAGCAAATAAATAAAGAAGAATCAAATTGTTGACATTTTATAACTTAGAAAGTAAGTTTTAAAACTAAATTTTAGAACTGAAAAACTAGGCAGTCCCCGGGGTCACTGCCACCTCGGGTCACTCACTTGTGAAGGACAGCAGGGGCGAAAGCTTCATGGACATAGTTTGTGGCACTCCACCATGTGACAGAACATCCTGGGGCTGCCAGGTTGGGGACCTTGGGCTGATGCTGGAGGCCAACGTCCCCCTCCAGGGCCAGGGCGCCCTGCAACAGTCACCCCAATGCGCATTTCAGTTAGAGATGAAAAAACTCAGTAGTTAGGCTCATCAGCAAAATGCAGGAGAGGGAAGGAAGAATCCGTGATAGCAGTTATTCAGTCTGGATAACAGAGAGAAGAGAGAGACAAAAACACACAGAGCTCCAGGGACTTGCAAAACCACAACAAAAAGACTTACATGCGCATCACTGGAGCTCTGGAAGGAGAGGAGAAAGGTGGAGTCTGAAAAAGCATTCAAAGAAATAATGGCTGAATCTTTCCCAAATGTGGCAAAGACATGAATGTCCAGATTCAGAAGCTGAGTGAAACCCTGAATCCAACGCATCCGCCTGGTGTCTTTGAGTTTCTTCTGTTCTCGCCCTTGAGTTTCTTCGGTGCTCGTCTGCGGGTGAGTACTCAGGTCTGAGTGTAGGCACCCGGGACACTCATCCAGACTGTCCCCATCACCATTCAAGGCAACTTAGGTTGTGTCATAGTTCTAGGTTTTCAATCTAATTTTAACTCAGGCCTCTTAACACTTCTGAAACATAGCTCTACACAGTGAGCACGCACTGGCATACCCCATTTCACTCCTACCCATTCAATTGTGTTGACTGATGTGGTTAAGCCAAACTCCAACACTACCAAATGCAACGATGGACTGCAGTTAGACTGGCTGTGCAACTGCACAGACCCGATTTACATGTCTCGAGGTGGCCACCTGAGGCTCTTCACACAGCAAAGTCTCCGATGAGCATAGTTTCCAGCTTTCAAGGAGGGGCAAAAGAGCTCCTTGGGAAGCCCTTACCTGGGGCTTTAAGTCCTGTGTACCCAAGAGTGTCCCCGTGAGTGGACATCCTCGTGTCACTGAGTGTCCTAGACCACTGCCCACTACCACATGCTCTCCAGCTTTATCCCCAGGGGTCAGACTTACCCTGTAAAAGACCAGATAGTAAATATGTCAGGTTCTGCAGGCAGACGGTGTGACAACCTCTCATCACTGCTGTCCTGAGGCAGGAAAGCAGCCATAGACAAAACATCAGGGAATGAGTGTGGCTGGGTTCCAATAAAATTTTATTTTATGAACAGTGAAATTTGAATTTCATGCCTTTTCAAAAGTCACCAAGGGGTGCATTTCATATTTACATGAAAAATGCAGAAACTAATACAGAACTTTGGGAGGCCGAGGTGGAAGCATGGCTTGAGGCCAGGAGTTGGAGACCAGTCTGGGCAACATAGCGAGACTCCGGCTCTACAAGACAACGAAAAAAATTAGCCAGCCGCGGTGGCACACCTGTAGTCCCAGCTACTCAGGACGCTGAGGAAGGTGGCTGGCTTGAGCTCAGAAGGTTGAGACTGCAGTGAGCTGTGATCCTGCCACTGGCACTCCAGTCTGGGCTACGTGGTGAGAGCCCCACCAGAAAGAAAGAAACGAAAGGAAAAGGAAAGAAGGGAAAGAGGGCGTCAGGTGCCAAGGCAGCTCTCCCGCAGGGAGGGTCACGCCGAGCGCCCCACCGCCCAAAAGCGCACCCCGCTGCGTCCCCACGGCCCAAGTCCCCGAGGCCCAGCTCAGGGAGGAGGGACACACCCCAGCGCGAGGCCAGGACCCGGACAGCGGGGCTTGGGGTGGCGAGGACCGGGGACCAGGAAGGGCCGGACCTGGGGGCCCGGCCTCCGGGGTGTCCCTGGCATCGCCGCCGCCTCGGGTCACACTCACTCGGGAAGGCCGGCAGGGATGAAGGCCAGAGCAACAGCGCGAGTAGGAGGACTGCGGGCTTCATGGGCGTGGTCCGCAGCACTCCGCCATGCGAGGGGAACGTCCTGGGGCCACCAGGCCGGGGACCTCAGGCCGACCGAGCGATACCTGCGGCCGACACGTCCCACTTCGGGGCTCAGAGCGACCGGCAACGGTCGCTCCAATGCGCAGGCGCGGGCGCGAGTTGCGCGCGGGGGCGGGGCCGCCTCGGTTCGCCCTGCTCTCTCGGCGCGCATGCGCGCTCGGCTAAACCACGGCTCGGGAGAGATGGATAACCTGGCAGTTACAACAGCGTGGGGTGGCAGTGATGGGGGAGCGCTTGGCCCTGTGAGCACAGAGGACGACCTTCCCCCAAAAGGGGTGGGGGAGGTCTACGTGGAAGGACTGGCGGTCACCCTGATCCCCTCTTCCCAGCGATGTGCGACCTGTGCGATCAAGCAGGGCGTCTGCAGACTGCGGCCCGCGGGGCCAGATTGGCCTCTTTTTGTATGGCTGGTCAGCCAAGAACAGTTTTTACCCTTCTTTTCTTTTCCTTTGTTTTCTTTTCTTTCCTTTTCCTTTTCTTTTCCCCCAGAATGGAAGGCAGGCAGGCGGGGCATTGAAGACACCTTAAGAGGCTCCCACGATTTGGCTTTGTTTTTCAAAAGATAACATTCCACTTCTTTGACATTCTTGAAAAGATAAGGTTAGGGGAGGGGACGGGGCGTGACTGTCAGGGGATGGCACAAGGTAGATGTTGGGGTGAAAGATGGTGGTGGCCCAAGAATCTATACATGTGTTCACAGAGATACACTGAAAATAGCCTAGTTTACTGTGTGGTTATGTTTTGAAATTCACACACACGTCCCTGCCTCAGGGAGCAAGGGGCTTGGATTTCAGTTTGAGGCAATCGCTGGCAATGTTTTGAACTGGGAGAGGTTGTGATTAAGTTTTCATTTCGGAAAGCTCACTCTCCCCGGAGTGTCAAGAATGGGAAGCAAAGGCCGTGCGTGGTGGCTCATGCTTGTAATCCCAACACTTTGGGAGGTCGAGGCAGGAGGATCACTTGAGGCCAGGAGTTCAAGACCAGCCTGGGCAACATAGCAAGACCTTGTCCTTACAGAAAACCAGTAAGTAGTTAGTCGGGTGTGGTGGCACACAGCTGTAATCCCAGTTACTTGGGAGGTTGAGGTAGAAGGATTGCTTGAGCCTAGGAGGTTGAGGCTGCAGTGAGCTGTGATTGTAACATACAGAGACACTGTCTTTAAAAAAAAAAAAAAATTAAAAAAAATTGAAAAACGAAAGAAAAAAATAACGAGAAGCAAGACAAAAGGCAGGGAGCCAAGTTAGGAGGCTGTTCCAGTCACTGATAATTGATAGGGGTCTGGACTGATGGTGGCAGAGGACATGGGACAGGTGGACAGATCTGAGAGACACGTAGAGCTGGAAATCAACAAGATGGAGGACTGACTACCTGTGGGGAATGAGGGAGAGAGAGGGGATACCCAGGTTTCTGGCTTGAGCATGCAGGTGTGTGGTGGTATCGTTTACTGACGTAACACAGAGCACTTAAGGGGGACGAAGATGACGAGTTTCATTTTCTTTTTTTTTTGAGTTGGAGTCTCACTCTGTTGCTCAGACTGGAGTGCAGTGGCCGCTCCCAGCCACTGCACCCTCGACCTGCTGGCCTCTGGCGATCCTTCCGCCTCAACCTTCCAAGTAGCCAGAATTACAGGCATGCGCTACCACACCCTGCTGATTTTTTTGATTTATTGTAGAGATGAGGTCTCGCTGCCCAGGTGGGTCTCGAACCCGCAGGCTCAGGCAATCCACTCACCTCAGCCTCCCAAAGGCGTGGGATTACAGGCTGAGCCACTGAGCCTGGCTACGAGTTTCATTTTCAACACTGCTGTATTGAGATGGGTTTGGGACCTCCTCATGGCAGTGTGGGTCTTCAGGTCTGGGACACATTCCTGGGAAACATGACTAGAGAGGGAGGGCGGGCCTCAGAGGACATCAGTGGGGGTGGAGGGGGGAAGCCAGGGAAGCACAGATGCATCAAGGAGAGGAGGAGCCAAGGCTGTCAGGAGCTCCTGAGAAGTCAAGCAGGAGGAGAAGGACAGAGCTACTAGATGCGAGGTGGAGACTGTGTCAGTGAGAGGTCTGGGCAGAAGCCAGAACTTGGTGAGTTGAGGAAAGAGAAAGAAGGGACCGAGTGGTGACAGCTAGGAAGACAACTTTTTAGTGTGGTTCAGGGATCTTTCATGTGCCCCGTTGGTGCTTAATTCAGACACAGCAGCATCCTGGGATCAAGCAGTTGCACCTACAGCTATGCATCACTTGATGCCAGGGATATGTTCTGGAAAAATGTGTCATTAGGTGATTTCATCACCGAACAATCTTCTCTAGACCAAGGTCCTTGAGGGAAGGAGTTGGGTCTAAGTTATCCTTGCCCTCCCCCTTAAAGCCCAGCCAAAGTCTCACATTCATCAGGTGTTCAGTAAATGCATGTTTGAGTTCAATTGAAATGAAAAGTTTGGGAATTTTTATACAGGCTTTTGCAGAATCTTTAAAGGTGTTGAATAATGGCATCAAGACACTTAGAGATGAGGAGTTTCTTCTGGAGACTAAAAATTGTGTTGGAAGTTCTCTCTGCAGCCGGGTGAGTATTATTATTATAAATCCAGGTGACATAAATAACATGTGGTCTCATCTGTTTTTTTTGCTATGAAGTGAGACTTAAAAAAAAAACCCAGAATTTATTTACAAAAAATTGTGTACTTATTGTTACATGTTTAAATTCTAGTCACCTTCAAAGTCCTCTCCGTCTGATGCAATACACCTACGGAGATGCTTTTTGAGTCAATAACCATAGCCTTATAGTCAGAAGTTTTGAACTTGTCAGTTTGGATGCCTTTTAGTGTTTCTACTGGTTTTTGTTTCACCTCTTGCACATTGGCAAAACATTTCCCTTTGAGGACTTTTTTCATCTGGGGAAACAAAAAAAGTAACTCGGAGCCGGGCTCGGTGGCTCAGCCTGTAATCCTGTGCCTTGGGAGGCTGAGGTGAGAGAATTGCCTGAGCCTGCGGGTTCGAGACCTGCTTGGGCACCTTGGTGAGACCTCATCTCTACAATAAATAAAAAAATTAGCTGGGTGTGATAGCGCGCGCCTGTAGTTCCAGCTACTTGGAAGGCTGAGGCGGAAGAATTGCTGGAGCCCAGCAGGTCGAGGCTGCGGGGGCCAGGAGCGGCCACTGCACTCCAGTCTGGGTGGCAGAGTGAGACTCCGACTCAAAAAAAAAAAAGTAACTCGGGGTGAGATTGGGTGGATAGGGAGGGTGGGGAATGGGTTCATGCCATTTCTGGTCAAGAACTGCTCAACACTCAGTGCAGTGTGGGCAGGTATGCTCATAAATCACCCATTATAAAATGGGCAAACAAGTTGAAAGAATCTTAAAAAAAAATCCACTGAAGCTGAACGCAGCCTCTCACAACAACGCTCGCTGGTGCACTGGTGCTGATGGGTTATTAGGACACTTACCTAGTGGGGAAAGCCTAGACTACAAAGCCGTCCTCAAAAGGAAAATCTGTTTTTTGGTTTCCCCTTTATATTCTTCAAGTAATTCTGGGCAATTAATCTTGTTTGTGAGATAACTGTTTCAGAGGGAGCGTGCCTGTTTCCACGCCCTTCGAGTGTACAGAAACTTCCTAGCAGTGGGTGGCAGCATCTCTGAGGGCCAGCCAGGTCCAATATGGCATCTTGTTTTAACCTGTTTCCCTTTGTTTTTCAGGGAAGCTAAGGGGTCTGCCTCCTCTCTCTCCCTGTTCCCACTTGGGCTTTCCCTAGACTTCTAGCACACATCTAAGCCCACACTCACGGCTCCTGACTCTTTCTCTGTTAACCCAAGGTATTTGAGTTCATGAGCTGTGTTTAACCAGAGATACATTTGTCTCAGCAGAGGTAGCAGCATGTTTGGAAATCCTTCCATCACCACCACAGTTTACTCTCCCAACCCTTCTCACCACCCTCATTATTCTCCTGGGACCAAGGCACAGAGCAGTTCATCCCATAGCCCTTGCCTACTTAATGCCAATGCATTTTGTACATCTCAGATCTCAAATATCACTTCCTAACAACACATGGCCCAGTGCCTGGCAAAATAGTTGAAATTCAGTACTCATTAAATGAGTAAATGAACGATTTCACCCATCTCTCTGTCTGTCCATCATCCATCCGTCCACGAATCCGTCCGTCTGTCCGTCCGTCCGTCCGTCAGTCCATCCATCCATCCATCCATCCGCCCTTCTAAAAATCACCATGATTACCAGCCTGTGCGCACAGCGCCTGTCAGGGAAGGACTTTGGCCACCTGGGGGCAGCAGAGCCTCATGAAGGCTGGGCGGCGTCTGCAGTGACCCAGCATCTCTCCGGCCGTGAGTCTAGAAACTGGGTTTTGATTTCGCAGCGATGGAGCCTGTTTTGCCGTTGAGTGTTTTGCTCCACGTCCTTGCGTTGCATCCCAGATATGCCAGTTGCATGTCAGAATGGGCAAAAGTGAGTCAGTAACCATAGCCTTTGTCCTTCATGTAGGACGTTCTTCAGTGCCAGCGATGAAGGCTGCACCTTCAGTCTCCCTCGGCAGTTCAGACTGGTTCCTCCCTGGCAGCCAGGGGCAAGGTCTACTGTGCTCACTGAGATGGGCAAAAGGCATTTCTCATTTACTATCCAGGACTCCATGGGCTGTTTTTGTGTTCACAGATGGATGGCAATGCAGTCCCGGAATGCGGATGGGACCCCCTGGGAAGAGCTCCCTGGCCGTGACCCACAGGGTTTTCAGCTCTGTCCAGAAAATCCTCTCTCTTTCCTCCTGCCTCTGCTGGGGCAGTGTGCAGCATGGAATGTCCAGGTGGCTGGTGACACACAGAGATGTCAGAGTAGTGACTTATTGCTCCGTGAGTTCACCCCCCCAAGGGGGGTCCTGGAATTTTAAAGGAGTCCTCAACACAAATTTAATTGGAGTTTACTTAGCTTTTGAAATATGAAACATGTCCTCATTAACTAGGAAAATTCTAAGGACAGAGACCGTGTCTTTTTGGTTTCTGTCCCAAGGACTTTCACAGTGCTGGCAGTGTGGGTGCCGTAAGAATATGTTGAGTA